TTGTAAGCTCCGCGGATCCCTCCACCACGTGCTCATGCCTCTACTCAACTTGGCCACTAACTGCTCGATGTTTCGCCCTGCAAGAAATTAAAACACATGGAGTTTTCAGCGCATATGTCGATTACGCAGTCAAGTAAAGGCGAACACATGTAGTCCTGAAGAAACAGTTTCCCAGAGCTACGAAGCTGTTCCCCCCACGCAGGCCGCATTTGCCAGGAATAGAAGCCTGTAGGGATGATTATGCCTACATGCACCGTGATTGTAACTGCATGCGGATCTAGACTATCGAGCATGGATGCCGTATTTTTTTGTTGTTTTGCTGCACATGCGCCAGGGCTGGCATGGGCTAACTTGAGGGGGTTCTTACCGTTGTGAACCAGCCCGTAAAGTGTATTTCCCGTTGAACACACTAGAGCGCGTAGGAACAGTAATTAACTGTGGAGTGTCAAGAATGCGCCGAGAGACGTAGATTCTCTTGTGCTTAAGAGTACTATTTCCTGATATTTTTGGGTCCGGAGGACAAAGGTGATATCCTCGTCTCCTTAGGAGCGTGATCATTCGAGCTGTTCTCGACGAAGGCGGCAGGAACGGTGCAGGGGAGACACTCATAAGCTGCGCTGGTGATACGTCGCAGCAGCAGGTTTTGCTTGTGCCCTTTACAGCAGTCCGGCATTATGGTGAGAATGAACATTGTGGTTTTACACAGTGTCAACATCTGCTGTGTAATTTGCCACTTTCATTACGTATAACATCATGGCGCCCTGGCAGCATGCGAATAGGTGGATGGCTGGCAAAAGACAGACAGCTGCTTATTTATCATTGGAGTTTGCGCAGCCCCACAGGAGTAAAAGGAGCGAACACACGATGCTTGCGTCTGCCGGGAATCGAACCCGGGTCACCTCGATGGCAACGAGGTATTCTACCACTAGACCACAAACGCTCGAGTACCACCTTCCTCGCCCGTGCGTCTAGCAGTGACTCTAGCAAGCCGAGAAACTGAGTGGAGCAGTTGCAAAAAAGAACCCAGGTGCGGGCTGTAATTGCGTCTGCCGGGAATCGAACCCGGGTCACCTCGATGGCAACGAGGTATTCTGCCACTAGACCACAAACGCAAGATGCCGAGCTGCTCTTTCACTGCACAGGGTCGAAACTACCGCAGGTCATTGTTTTCAATGATACACCTAGCAACAGTATAAAAGTGCGTCTGCCGGGAATCGAACCCGGGTCACCTCGATGGCAACGAGGTATTCTACCACTAGACCACAAACGCCTCAGAATTATCCGGTTCAGACATGCGAGCATAGCCGTTTAGTTTTTGAGCGATGCTGAAGGAAACTTAACTGGATTCGTCAGAATATCTTTTTTCAAAAGAACGTGCGTCTGCCGGGAATCGAACCCGGGTCACCTCGATGGCAACGAGGTATTCTACCACTAGACCACAAACGCGCGGAAGTATCCTTGAGACTGTGTTAATGCATGTGTTCCACCATTCCTTGAGTGCATTATCTAGTCGTGGTTTCATTGTTTAATGCCCTGTCATATCCCATAACTTCTTAGTACTTGTAACTTTGCAAGGGCGGCATGTAGTCGAGCCATGAAGCCTACTGGGCACACGTAATGATACACTTACACGTAACACGACCGCCCTAGCATACTCCTGTACCCCTTCGTGACTTTTTCAAGCCGTTGGTTTGTCTTTAATTACTTGCAACTATTGGGAGATTCCCTCGAATTGCCTTGCCCCTTAATCTTATCCATTCAAGCGCCGATGCGTGACTGCCTTTGATTTTTGTGGTAATAAAGCAGTATTTTCGGAAACTTGTCATATGGATGCTTAGTGGAAGTCACGGTGGAGGATTTTGAGACAGCATGAGGTGGAGGGCCGCGGGATACGCAAAGACCACATTCCTTCCCAAAATTCCTAAAAGGCGAAAGCATGTTTCCACAGCAGTTCGTTCCAATATTATGCTTAGACGACGTGCTGTTTCAGCATCTGGCATGTAGTTGACCTAATTTAGGCAAGCACAGCCAGAATGAATTCTTGATCAGGTGAGAATGGCGCTGTGTTCCCACCCGGCACAAGCTTGAACTATTTCATATAAGGATACCCAGAATTTGTTTCTTGAGTACATGCTTATGCATGACAGCTAAAGAAGTGAAGTCCCGTATGCAGTACTTCCCAACTGCTCTACACAGGCGTAGCAGTATACCGAAGCTGTATAGCGCAAGGAAACTTGCGGCACGTATGCCAATTAGTGTGACAGGGCGCAAAAAAGCTAAAATTTGTGACGTTCTGTAGCCTCAAGTGCAGAAGCAGACTTTGAGGAACGTGCATGAAAATGGTCAGGCGGCGTGTCCTTCCAGCAGCTTACTGAAGGCGCTTGTTGTAGATTTGTAGTGCCTGAGAAAATTCCGTATCAAATTTTAGCGGGCAGTAGATCTTGCTATACTTTGGGTAAGTTGTACATGCCCTTTCTGCTCTGTACATCCCTATTGGCGTTGTAAAAAGTTGATTGAGTCATGCGATAGTGCCGCAGTTCTTCCTGGTGCTCCGGTTCAGCTTTGTAGCAAACTGTACAGGCACTCTTTCGCTAGCACAAGCAAAGAAGTCGAAGTTTCCAATAGAGTACACGCCAGCTCATCAGATAAATTTGCTGCATTCTCTGGTAACTAGTTGGATGTGAAGAGAGGTTACCACAGAATACCTGCTGAGGCCCAATCACCAGCACACACAGAACCCTAGTTGCTGAGGTTGAGTTCCCCAAAGGGTTTCTTGAAGAGCTCTTATTTTTTCGAGAAGCGGTACCCTGTACTGCAGAATTGGGGCACTGGGCTAACTTCGCTACGGTTGGTTCTTACTGGTCCCTTTCTTTTTCGGAGCACTCGCGGTTCTATTCACTCTTCAGCGGTTTTTTGACCTGAAATATCGCGAAATGTTTACAGAGCGCTGCTGCTTCTGGAACAGAAGCATTTGCGCGCTGTGGCTCTGGCATTCTGCCAGTCTTACGGAATTTGTGAGCTCAAAACCCTGTATCCCGCGGAGAGATTATCAATTTATGGGCTAGCTCTACTCCCCTATAGTCAGCACTTTACAACAGCATTGCCTAGAACTAATTACATAGAGTTTGAAGAGTAAACAACGTTGTGGAAACCTCTAAGGTGCCAAAGGACAGGATCCCACAGTGCAAGCATTCAAAGGTCCTTACAGAGGTCGAAAGTGTTGGCTAGGAAGCTAGTGACCTGCGTGTAGCAATCCATGTAACAATAACGCATTACCACTGCGGGATTGCTTGGCGGTAGCGCTTTTGAAATGACGGCTGCTTGCCAGTGACGCGTAAAGTTGTAATAGAGGTACTGAGCATTTCCACCCCTAAACACCTTAATCGGGCTACAGATCATCTCCTTTATTGAAAGCGCATTGAAGTAGGCCAGATAAAGGACACTCCTTGGCTGCAGAGCGATTCATGTTTCATCACTCACATGCGCTCTATAGAACGGGACTTTGGTACTTGCATGCCAGTCACTGCGTTGCCTCGCATCATGGAAGCGACGTTTTTCGGCTGCACAAGACACGGGCCTTCCCACTCTAGCGTAACGAGTGTGACGTAGTCAGAGGGTGCCTGTGGGGCACTCCAGGAATTGGGCAACTTAGAACATATAGAGCAGAACTGGAGATATACGGCTTGGCACCGCCAAAAACACTCCGTAGTAGCTAGGGCCCTGAATGAGTGCTTGAGCACATTGGGGCCTACTGCCGTTTTCACTCCTGCCTATACGCAAAGCTAAGGCAAGATATGCCTATATTTTACGAATTCAAGGGCCTTAACAGGCGCAGCAACACGGTACGTTTGGAGTGGAATCTTCGGCTATTCTGTTTCGAAGGGGACTGTGCTCATTTTAAGAGTAAACACTATTGCATCAAGGCCTGCTAAGGTGCAGGGTACACACAAACACGCTCTGAACCACACCAGAACATTCTTCACTGCCGCTCAAACAGTGCCTCCAGTGTTCAGCATATTACGCATAGGTCACGAGGGCAGTGCCGCTACGATGTCCACTTGTAGCGCTACCTCCTGGAGGCTGCGCCACCTCCCGGTGCTCCCGCTCTTGCACAGTTTTCCTAAATTTGGTGCTAACCGTAGGATTTTCAGAGTGCTCCTTTTCCTTTCCCCTCAGTGCTATCCGTGTTTGCTATCCCGTGCTGTATAACGTGTTGCCTGCGACTGGTGCAAGACGTCTTTCAACACGGAGCCACCTACCGTGGCCTCAGTGCCATAGATTGTCAAAAGAGCAGGATGCCCTTTCATCTGTTTTCATTCCGGAAGCAGCAAATTTCATATCTGTGTGGTCCAATTGTTATCTTGAGCGACCTCTCACCCCAGCAAACCAGCACCGTCAAACTCGAAGCTGTGCGGCACGGCACGCCACTAAGCTAAATGAATCTCCGTCTCGAAGATTACTGCAGACAATGCGAGCGAAAACCGACCAAATATTCGGACTTTTCTGGGAACCCTCACATAAGTCCATGGCTCAACCAGCCGGCGCCAGCAGCCAACCCAGCAGCATTAGATTCAGTGCGGTGGGCGATGCAGATGACTGCACAGATAAAGTGTACGAACCTACGATAATTCCACGTTTTCCTTAAAAAAGGGCAACGCAGCAGGGAGCCCTATCCAGTGGTTCACGGCTACTGAGGTTATGAACATGCCGAAGACGGCTGCTATGCTGCGGGGAAAGAAGGCTGGGGCTTCTTGGGGGGCAGTATGCACGGCCGCCATTTGGATGTCTATTCGGTCAAAGTATTCGAAGTTGTGGACCTTGGCATGCCTGTGATCTTCTATTTGTGTCGTTCGGCTTGCGCTTCACACGCGTTTTGAGCTTGGAATTGGACGGCTGCCTGCGTGGTTCCGTGGGTGACATCCCAGGTGGGCTGCCCGCCAGCCGCCGTTTAACTGGGTCCCGCCGGAGTTCCGCTCGGCATTTTCATATACCTGCAGAAAATGAAGTCAGAGTGGAAGCAGCTTCTGCTTATTGCAGGTGCGCCTTACACCGGCAGCAATCCCCACGTCGCAGCCGTGTAGGCTGACGTAGCCTGAAGCGGCGACCAGATTTCTCATGTTCTTTTGCAGCTTTGCGTGGACGTACTTCCATGAAGCTGTACTATTTCCACTTGTGGTAGATTCCTTGAGCTAACATGCGTGGAAGTTTGCTTTGACTGCATGGCATGTGCTGCGGAGGGGAGCCCAGGCATAGGCAATGTGTCGGTTATGTCCCTGCCTGCTTGAGGCGTTTCTCCCGTGCAACTAAACTTTTTGACTTAACCAGTGTGGTGCTTTTGGGCTCTCTTCTAATAGAGTGCCGGACAGGCCCCTCATAAAGAAAGAGCGCCTACAGGTTGCCAATGCAGTACGTGGGCTGTAAAGGGAGTTTGGGCTCGCATGCTGTGCATTGGACGCATACTCTTGAATTTTTAGTGCGTTCACAGGCTTCATATCGCTGCACAAATGCTCAAGAGTAGTGAGCCTGTATTCACATGAGGGCGTCTCGTCTTCTCTCGAAGCGGGTGCATGCTTTGACTGCAGGAGCATGTCCCCGTATTTGTCTGCTTTCATTGTTGCTTAAGTTGCAGCAAAAGCAGTTGCTGGCACCTTGATGACATAGCATTGGGCTCTGACAGTCATGAGGATACTTAACATGGCCGTTTTTGGCAGCTGAAGCCAGCAACTGCTGTTCAAACGAAGCCGCTTGATTACCGGCACCCGTGGGGGTCTTGCTCTAAGTGGCGAATGAAGCTTATTGTTAATTTGCATTTTGGGCATTGTTTTCGCGCCACTCTGATGATAGCATTGGGCTCTGAACATACTGAGGATGCTTTTCTTCGCCGTAGAAAAGCGAGTGACTGACCCAAGTGGCGTATTCCTGTCGCGTATTTCGTGAATTTCGTCTGTTTTCTACTTTCCTGTGTCATGCATACGGTGGTTCGTCCGCTGTGAGCGGCTTCTACACTATTTTCCCTGTCATCGGAATTGCTGCGTGCAGGTGGGGCGGCGGCCACAGGCGTGGCTTTGTACTACCTTCTCAGAGATGACGGATCAGGCCGCAAGGAGAAGGAGTCTGAAGTGAGGAAGTTGAGCAGGAATGACGTAAGGCGCTTTACGACATCGAAATGCGTGTGTGCAACGGACTCCTTGTACTGCCTTCTTTCGATTCCGACCTTTGTGGGCGGTTGCTTCTCCTCCGCCTGTGCTTCACGAGCCTGCGCCCTCGTAAACTCTGGTTTTTCCATCAGTTGGACAGCAGCGTATTTTGCTGTTCTCGCGTCAGGCAACAAAGGAGCAGGTGTTGATGGTTCTGCGAGATATTTTAAGTACCCAAGAGAAGATGAAGGGATTGATGAAAAAGTTCACCCAGAAGTTTTTTGAGGAGGAATGCACGTAAGCGGAGGGTTTAGTTGGTGGGAGGGCCATCAGCTGCGTGTTACTCATGCACTCTCTGGTATTATGGTTCCCCTTGCCCTTTCATGTTTTGGCACTGCACAGATTCTCGTTTCTGTGCCGCTTGCCTTGAATTTGAGGCGCATATAAAGCCGCGTTTCTTGTTATTGTATGCAGTTTTGAGGAGGCGTGCGCCATGGTAGCGAAGCAGCACCCGGAGGATCCCCTAGGCCGTTATGGGCTGACAATGGCGACCTTTGATGGGCTTTTAGACAAGTTTCAGCAGGACCCAGAGGTGAAGGAGGCCGTACTGAGCATAATGGGCTCCGCATCAACTCCAAAGTGAGCGGTGCCAACGATTCATGCTGCTTTTGCTTACTCGATTCGCAGTGGCGTTACAGTTATCTGCATATCAGATGCTTCATGTCTCAGCATTCTAGCCATTTGCATGTGTTTCAGCCCCACGCCGGCGGCCTATCAGATATCAACGGATCATCTGATAAAGGTGCACGAGTTTATGCGGGACGAGCTTCAGAGCTTGGCAGCGGAGGCAGGGTCGTGGCCGAAGGCTGACATCAAGGTCATAACTCTGGCTGCTCAGGCTTATGTTGGCGCAAAGGTACAGAAGAAATTCGGGCTAACTGGAGAAGATATAGAGGGAGCAGTGCTTCTCAACCACAAGGACCTTTCAGCGAATGCGAATTTTACACTTGTGAATATGGCAATCCAAAAGACGATGAATGATCTGGTAGACGCAGACGCATGATCGGCCAAAAGACGAACAGAGGGCATTATACAGCGTGCCGGTTGCGCGTACCAATGCGGCGGGTATTGCGGCGGTTACGTTGACGTCGTATCCAGTGGAGTGCGATGACCTTGGATTCCTTCTACACTATTGAGTAATGCTAGGGTCGAGGGCTTGGTGAGTTGGACATTTAGGGTGCTTATTTATTAGAGTTGTTTCGCTTTAGACCCACTTTTGTCGTCCCACTGCAGCAGCTGCTGCTGTAAATGCAAAACATTGCAGAATGCAGAGGCAGCAGGTCGCGACATCAGCGAATGTTCAGACGCGAAGCGGCGCGAATAAACTGCTGCAAGAAAGGGTCTCCTTTGGCACCGTCAATTTCCGTAAGTGCTGGATTTTATATGTATTTAGGGGCATCTGCGGGCCTCTAGCTCTGTTGCTGCGCCATTTGTGGCCCGCTGCACCAGATTTGCACACGAGTTCCTCAACAGTGGGCTGTATGCACGTTGAGAGCATAAGCAAGCGTAGACATTCAACCCAGATGTGAACCATTGCCAGATGTTCCAAAGTAGGGAGGCTAGTGAGAGTTCGGTGCCGTAGAGCGTTTCTGCGGCCTACGGTAGTTCACTGCACCCTCCAAGTACCAAGCTACTGTAGTCTGTACTGCGCAACTTCACGAGCGTCTCCCGACAGAAATCTCATTGAGATCGAACGAGCTCGCACATGCTCCATATTTTAGCCTGTGTATGTTGGTGCTTGCTTGCACAAATGCGCCCATGTACGCGTACCGGACTTGGGAGCGGGCGCGTGAGGGTCCTTCATATGGCTTCGAAGTCACGAGCCCAGCTGTTCTAGGGACAGTTGGGCTTCTGTAGTGGATCGGTCTGAGAAAAGAGGATTGCCTGATTGAGCGGTTCCAGGTAACGCGCTCTCGGGGGTTTAGCAGGTCGAATGCATACAGTTTCGCAGGATGCTGCAAACTCGTGATGTCACCGTGCACACAGTTGGCCAGGCGCAGAACATACCAGTTGCGTGCGGCTCCATTGGCGATCCGTGGTAGTATCGTCTTTCCCGTTATTTCCTTGGATCAGAGCTAGCACTGGTTAGGGGTAATTCATTCTTCGGCGTCCCCAGCAAGATGAGCGTACTAACCACCCTGAAATTTGGTTTTAGAGTAGGGCATAACCACACTGCATAACATTCCTTAAGAGCCTGTCGGCTTGGGAGGCTCAACGTTGACGTACCAGCGTTTGTAGACGTGAGATTACTATTGAAACTGCGAGGAGAGGAGTGAGTAGAGGCTGCATTTCTGAGTGCACTGGAAGCTGAAGAGGGCTAGGCAGAAGGGGAATAAGAATTTATGAGGCCGTAATCGAAGTTCTTCATGGTAACTCCTCCTAGTTAAAGATGTCGAGGATAAGCCGAAGAGATTTTCTTCATCGCTGAGTGCTCAATGGAATCGCACCGTTTGTTGGATGGAAACTTTTAAGGTAAGTGTACACGTTCGGGTTATAGAATGGTGAGGTGAAATGGTACGGTTTCATGTAATGCTCCACTACAGCAGTTTATCTGCATGCGCAGTTGTGTTTGTGTATCTGAAACTTTACGGAAACTAAAGGGCGGGGGTATCCCGAACGCGTACTTCAGGTGCGGATGAACAGCACATAACAGATATCGTTTCGAAGAAGGACTGTAGACAACATAGCTGCAGACAAGTAGCCGCACACACAGATTTGGCAATTTTTACTGGATTAGTATGTGTTGGGAAGGTAGCACTGCTCACTAACATTTCTGGAACTCCAGAGGAACGTTGCTGCTACACTGCGAAGTTCGTTACTTCAGGGAAATCTTGCCCAAACAAGGTCTCCAGAGGCCCTAAATATTTACAAGCTAATCGAAGGAGCACGTTACCCCCTTTGGGATAAATGTATCAACCAAAACCACCACACCACATATCACAGCTTCACAGCCTGTGGCTGCTCCGCAAGACCGCAATACTCCCTCATATATTTATATGCCAATTCCTTGCCTTTATTTGATGCTTCACGTCCCTTTACACATTTCCCCCAGGCTTCTGTGTATTGGTATACTAGCGAACTACGACGGGCAAGCGGCCCCTACAGCGTTTGGTGGTGTGCCAAATTTGAACCCCGTTTTCCGCACAATTTATCGGGATATGTTGAATTTTATTGCCTCTTTAGGAGGAAACTGTAAAACTGAAGCGTCGTAGTTGATGATATTGCGTATCCTGTTTATGGTCATGGGGCCTTCAGACTCCCCAGCGCAAACAGGTTTCACCATTATGGCGCTTCTCTCGGTTTCCACACCTGCCTTTGTGCGTCACTTTGCTTGACCCCTGTATTCTTGAGATTATTATATGTCTTTTGGTCTGTGTAGTGCACAGACTGTGGTTCAGCTTTTATGTTGTGTTTTTTGAAGTCTTGAGAGCCGCTGCTCGTGATGTTCACTGCTAAGCTCTGACCCGCACCCCGCTCTCAACTCTTCCACTCCACATATTGTGAAAACTTTCGGATTGTTTTTAAGTCTACTACTGTGAGAGGTGGCACTGCAGTTTTCCAGGCCATATAACAAAACCTCTGTGTGTGGGGCCCCCTGGGGCCCCCAAGACGTAGTACGCGCCAGGCATGTTTTCCGTGGTCCTGGTGCAGCAGCTGCTGCGTTTGGCTTTTATGGGAGCTTGTGCTGCAACGACAGTAAGGAGTTTGAGTCAAAGCAAACGCCTACGCCTTCACTATTTGGGATTTGTAGGGATCCGTCAATACAGGACAGTCCCACTATGGCAGCCCCCACAGGTATCCTTGCTGCATGATTTCGGCAAGTGTGACACCTATTCAGGCCGCACAGCCTCAGTGGGCTCGGCTCCGGGCGCTCACTTGAGCTGTGGCAAGTTGAGCTCACTGACTTTTGTGGACTGGGGTAGGGGCCCGACTGCCCCTGCAAGCTCTGAGAGGCTGCTACAGCAGCAGGGCAGGAAGGGCAATATCAGTCTGACTTCTGGCTTGTTGTTTTGCACAACGTGGGACCCACGATCTAAGGCGCTAATATCTGCTCTTAGGTTGCTGGAGGAAGAGGCTCGACGGGCCCATACGGCCCCCCATCTTTGCGAAAATGGGCTGTTGCAGCTACCAGTGTACCCTCTAATTGGGGTACGGATAACCAATAGCCTTGTTATAGCAAGGAGCAGAAGGGCCCTCACAAAACAGCGGCGCATGGCATGCAACATGAAACAGCTACGCCACAATGAAAGGGCCTTGAGATTCATGCTACAGCAGCAACCGCCTCTGCAGCTAAAGGGGCTACCAGCACTCCAGCTGTACACCCAAAAGCAGCAAATCCAGGAGCAAGGGGGCGCTTCTGCATGTTCGGTTCCGATGCAGAAGCTACTTGAAATTCGCTCTATGGGACCTCGGACTCTACAGCGACTAGGGGAAGACGAAGGCGCCTTACTTGGAGCCTGGGGCCCGGAGGCGCCTCCGAGCAACCCATCAGCAGCAGCTGCCCTTGGGGCTTGGTTGAGGCGGCTGGGCCAGCTATACGAGGAAGAACTGAAGACAGTGGTACAGAAGCGGCTTCAGCAAGCAGACGACGAGTATCCTATCTACGCTTCTTACAGTCCGTAGGCCACAAGCTTTAAGGCAGTCACAGGACATAAGCAAGGTGGAAGTACGTGCAAAAACGCGTTCCACAGCTACCATCGAAACAGCTGACACTGGGACTTAAACGGTCGGACCAAGCAGCGATCAGGGAACAACCGTACAACGGACGACCCCAACATTTTTGAATGAAGGAAAACCGGCGGCACCCCAAGGAGCTGTTGGGCCTCTGGGGATGTTACGGGTCAAGTGGTCTATTATCTCTGCTCGCTAATCCCCATTCTTGCTAATTTCGGCTTGAGATGGACAATGCCAGAAGCTTAGTTGTGCCCACGTGTCGGCGATACAGGCAGAGGTCGCCACTGGATTTGTCCACGGCTCGTGCTGTACACCATAACTTCTAGAACAGCAAGTCCACGGGCATTGGTTCCTTGTTCATACTAGAACATAAAAACGTCATTTGTCTACTTCGTTTTGTCGTGAAAATAGAGGCCTTGTGTCCTTGGCAGTTTGGCAGCTCCCCATCTTAGGGTTGGCCAAAGTAGTTGAATAGAGCGAGGCAACTAGCAAGACGCGCATACACACAACTGCACGGGGTGCATCAGATAAATCCAGTCTCCAAAAACTGCTGCCGGGACACTGAAAACTGCATGTATACCCCGTCATCATGTGCCCAGTTGCTCGCGCCTAGCCAGGCGCTGTTTTGAGGGTCCTCGTGCTGGTAGATATGAATTTGCCAGTGCTGTAGCAACCACATCAGGAGACAGAAGCACAGGAGTGCGTTACATGTGACGTAGTGTCGCCGATTGTGTCAGGCATGCAGTTCAGGAAAAGGTAATATGCGGTCACAAAAGCTTGGAGGTCCTACCGACGGTAGGACTGTCAGCTTAGCACATACCCTTACCTACAGGCATTGTCTAGAGAACACGCGCGCACACGGGATACAACAGGTACAGCAGGCAAGCAGGCACAGGTAGCGGCCAAAAGCACTTCAGGAATAGATAAAGACGGGAGAAAGTAGGCGTGATGAAATAATGCAGCTCTCACAAGCCCTCGCCCTACCTCCGGCAGCAGTCCGCGTAGCTCCTGCCATAGTCTTTCTTTGAAGCCCCAAAATTTGGTACTGCCGCCAACAAGAAATATCTGAGAGGAAAGAAAGGGCTGAGCTTCAACAGGCGCCTTGCAGATCGCTCGGTACACCAGCTCCGCCACCCCACACTCTGAGCTGCCTCCGTCTGATGGAAACGCAGTGCACTGGCGAGCAACAAATGACTTCAATTTAGGCTTTTTCCCTTTCCCCTTTCCTTAGACACACAGAGCACTTGAGCCAGCAATAGACGAAGCGGCTATTCTTCTCATTCAGAATTTTCAAGCAGATGCGACCATGGAATACACACCTATTCGCATCTTAAAGGAACCTACACCAAGCACGCACATCCCAAGATACGTAGACACCATACCCTTTACACACTTCTAATGCTTGAAAAGTATGACGTCGGACTGCATACGTGCCCGTTTCATGTATTATGCACAAGAAGAGTATGTATACGCACATAGCAAGAAATGAAATTTCACAGAAACGCATAAGCAGCCTTGTCCTCTGAGGGGAAAGGCAAAGTAGTAAGGAGTAGCGAGGAGCACTCAAATGCGGACGTTCCTGGCTTGCCTTGTGGCCTAAACAAAATTTCCGGCACCACCAATCTCTCTGTCGAGAGCTTCACTGTGGGCCTTGTCGGAATGCCAGGGGGGCCCCAGGTGTCATCCGTGGTCCCCTGGACTACCCCAGGAGGTTCCGGAGCTGCCGCCGTCGGAACGGGCGGCGTATCTGAGGCCGTATCGCGATTGCTGCTGGTGCTGCTGCTGCTTTGGTGTATTTGGGTTTGGCTCGACCCCTCCAGAGAAGACAATTCTGGAATAGGGGCAGGGGAATGAGTGTGATAATACGTAGACAACTGAGCCTTCTGCAAAGCAGCAACACCACAGAAGCCGGAAACCCCTTGGAGAATTCTTCGGCTATGCGTGGGGGCAAATTCCTGCTCCAACCAGCCTGGAGTGCACTTCAGACATTTGTCTGCAGCACTGATCGCCCATTATCCAAGGAACGTCGGGCAGCTAAAACAGCTTTGCCGTAAGAATAGCGTTGCCCTACTGATGAATTAGAGAAACTACCAAACGAGTATCTACTTTGCACTTCTCTTCATGCTCATCAATACTAAACGCTCTAGATGCATCTCAAAGCTCACTGTAAGGGAATAATCCGGAGTCTCTCTCTCCACGAATAGAGGCCCGCCCAAGCGTGCCGTGCTTCTGCCTCCTGGTAGACTACTCAGCTGTTTCAGGACCTGCATGAGATCCCCCGCGAAGAAGCACGTTTCCTCTTTTAGCTGCACCGACAGAAACGCAAAGAAGTGGTTCACGCCGTGCTCTTGTGCGTTGCAACCTCCTCATTTTTCTTGTCGGGTAAGTCTACATCCTCCCCTACTTTGCTTACTTTCTGAGCGAAGAGCTCGTTCTTCTCGAGACTGAGACCTCGCGTTAACAGCAGGTTCTTGAGGTATGCATTAGCGTGTGCTCCTCCGATTTCAGAGCGAAGGGCTGATGCTTCCAAAGCGGAATAATTCACAAATGGGACAGCATGGGACAAGCTAAACCCTACGTCTACAGTCAGTCCAAAGGGGTTTCGTCCAGGGCTCACCTGGCCCACGGAACTCAGGTCTGTTGCTGCTGCTCCTGCTGCAAGGCGCGGCGAGAAACACGGATCCGACGAAGTTGTTGTGCCAGTCCCACCGCCCTTGGTTTTAGTAACAGGTGCTCCGCGTGCGCCTGGATTACCGACAGAACTCCCATCAGGTCCGCTGTAGCACGTAACCCCCATGCGTTTAGCCCTGGGAGGAGCGCAGATGTCTTGGGCACCCCAGCCCATGCCCCAAAACGCATAAGGGATTACGGCCTGAGCTGCTACTATGGCTAAGCGCTCAACACCCAGATCTTCAAAAAGGATTTCGCTCACATGGTGCCTTAGGGGAGCTGGAGTGAGGAGAGGCTCTGTGAGGGCGACACCGTTGAGCTCCTTAGGGTCTGCTCCCAAATACTTGCGGCTAAAGCTCACGTCTATCAGGTCTCGTAGCATCTCCAAATTCGCCCAAAGACCACCTTGGCTAGGGCGGGAGCAGATGTACTCCTGGAGGCAGTAACACTCCTCCGCCAGATACAGCTGGGGGCGCCGGCGTACAGCTCCGGCGCATGTGGGGAGCACATACCGAGCCCTGCCTTCCCCAGCCCAGCCAGCCTTAATCGAGCCAGTGCCTAGGTCCAGCACTGCCCTTTTGCTGTTCTGCATCTTCCATTTCTGACGGAACAGCCGAACTGTAAGGACTCACAAGTCGGGGAAGAGAATTGCTTATTGCTTCATGAAAAAGACTTTTCACAGTATCAAGAGAATGATGCAAACTGCCGCTTTACACGTCATTCAATCAACGTGGTGGGAAACCTTAATGGGCGACTCCCAGCTTTGCGCCAATTGCACGACGGTACTGGGAAGCTGCGCTGCTCCCAACGCCAGCATCGAATACTGTACCAACAAGCACCCTACAAAAGACATGAAAATCAAGCCATGAATCCCGCTTGGAAGAACCCATGAGTGCTTGTATGCGGGAGTACGCTAACCAGCCACGGTACCGTCTTCTTTGCTTGAGGTGCGAGTTCTGATTAGCTAGTGAATCATTGGAACACGCTCAAAAAGTAAAACAGCTGCGATGTATGGAGGTGGTGCTGTCAACATATTGTGAACACAACGTTTCCCCACTAGACATTCGTTGCTGGAAAGGAGTCTGAAGCAGTCCCAACCACTGTTCTGTCTTTCCCGCCGCCCGTTTTTTTTACATGGCACAGTTACAAAAGACTGATACGTTAGTTTTGCGTACCTGGCATGTACAAACATTGCTTACTGTCGTTGGTGTTTTTATTGCCGGGCGCTGCACTTCAGAACCCCACCCCGAGGAAAGTGTCAGCGCCTCAATTCATACCTTCAGGGAAAATTTTTCGCACTTCGAGCATATTGTGGGGGGCTTTAAAATACCCTGACATATTTTGGGTTTATATTTTAAGGATAGATTGGCTCTCAAGCGGAACGCTCTCGTGTCATCTGTGTCGTACACCTACTCTTTAAGCTCGCCACAACTGCCTAGGACACTCATCCAGAAACAAATAATCATGCTGCGCTACAAAAACACTGTATCTCTCTTTCAGAGTGTAAATAATGCAGAGTGTTCCTCGGTGCTAGTGTCAGCTGCATGTCACTGGCCCAAGAGCTGATTGCTGAGTGCCGCACTATCAGTGTTTGAACCGGAACAGGAGCTTGAATGGATCAAAATGAATAGCTAATCTTAATTTCCGAATTGGTGAGATCCATTACAAAGACCTTCGCGCGTGTCATGGCCTAGTCGCTAGGAGTAGGCTACATGGCCAAACGTGCTCGTGGTATGCTAACTACGAGGGTACTGACCCAAAGCCGCAAACTCCTGCTACAGGCTTTCTACGGACCACTAGAGTGAATATGGGGTTAAGATGACAATCAAACACAATAAAGGGCCAGGGGTAGTCTTCGGTATAGGCAAGAGGCAGTGCCACGAGGAGCCAATATTGCAACAGTGTTCGCGCCTCAAGATCGCCTCAAGATCTTCAATATGGGGCTGGTTAATGAAATCGTATCACTCACGGAAAACTGCAAAGGTCCTAGCTCATGGAACAGTAGCCCATATGCAGACGCAAGACGCTGGAGGCTTTCCCCGTAGACTGCGGTCAGCTCGCATGTATGTGTAGATATTAGTCTCTATTTAGTGCTTGCCCGGAATAGTGCAAGAACCTGCTTGAAAGTGTTGCTTGCATTCACAATAAGGGTAGCACAGAAAAAACTGAAACTTTTTGTAAGATCGTCTCACTAAGAGCGTCGACCCGGAAGCCACTGGAGCTTCTTGTAAGAGCGTCACACTAAAACATCAACCCCCATGCTGCTATACCTTCCCCTGAAAATCTCTAATGCACTCCATAGCGAGATGCAAGAAACAGGTTTCATTTTGTTCATTGAAACTGCTACTTACATCAAATATTATGGTGTGAAGCCCACTTTCGCGGTCTTCTAGCATGAGCATCACAACTGGTTAGAGGAATGGGAGTCGAGGGAATCAGCACGGGCAGCATGTTGCAGCAGTCAATTTTCCCGCGAAACTATCTGAGTAATTGTGGATAGACTCCGCCCCCTGGTTCACATATATTTGAAAGTGATACGCTTTGCATCAGAAGAGAGTGGAACCCCCTTGGGATAGTAAACCATGCCAATATTAGATGAAGATACTAAGCAAAGGAAATGCCTGCATACTTGGATCTAACATACCATTCAAAATATTTAATTGAAATTAGAGAATTTGAAAGGATATATATGCTGCTGCGGAGCAACAAGCAGCCTCAGCGAGAGCAGAGAAGTTTCGTTTGGTCCTAGATTGCTCGTTCAACGCATGTACCAGGCCTTTTATCAAGTGTGTGCACGCTTGCCAAGCTCCAGTACTGAACGACCCTGTGCAGCGAGCCATTGAGGCTGAAGTCCTGGAGGCCTAATTGGTCCTCGTTCAACGCATGCACTGAAACTTTCACCAAGTTTGTTTAGAAGTATGCTGGTGCCGAAAGCAGAAAGAAGAAACGAGTTCAATACCTTGTAGTGTACCGACTAAAAATACGCACTTTTTTAGAGCCGAGCTGTGATAAAAGAGCCCGAATTGTCCCCATATGATGTTGTCTGCATCCGTTCGGATTAGGTATGGCGTTTGTTGGAATGATGCACGCTACTTCACCCACCATATGTGTGTATAAATGACCAGATGCTCCCATGTCTGGAGTGCAAAAGGGTTGAACGCCATGGACTGCACTTGACGGCGACAAGCACTATATCAGGCGCAGCAGTTGCTTATTACTAGCCAGTGGCAATTACTAGCCACTGGCTAGTAATTGCAAGCCCTGTCACTGAGAATGACATCGCTGTTGCTGTAGTGCGCAGCAACTACAGTAGGGCTTGCTGGGGACCGTAAGAAGATAGCTAGCTGGCGACCTACAAGAGGACAACACGCTGAACGAGGACAGGACCTTCTTACTAGTATCGAAGTGAGGCAGTTTATCAACAAATTAGCATGTATACACTACACATGTCTGTGAAACGTCGAAGGTAGATGGCTTTTTCATAGGCGCCCTATTCTTGGGCCAGGTAGCAGCGTAGCCGAGGCGGTAGGCGCTGTGCACTACAGTTGCAACCCATTGAGCTTGAAAACCTAGATTCACGTGTCGTCGCACCAATGCAAATAAAGGAGGATACGAATTGCCAGCTGCAGAAATTTCCGACTCCGTCGGGCGGCAGGAAAGAAGCCAGGCAATCTTCTTTGGTGCTAGCAGAATAGGAGACGCGTAGAAAGGTGAATAGCTTTGAGCCGACTTAGTGCTGGAGAGGTCTCTTCGCGCCTCACTGAAGGGTAGAAACGAAATTGGCATTAGAGCGAAGCAAGATAATCTCAACGAGCGAGGCGAAGAATTGTCAATGCCTGCACCGGTGCCGGTGTAGTACACCGCCTTCTCTGCAGCGACTACGCTGCTGCCTGGCCCAGAACTTGGGCGAAATCCTCTCTACTGTAGCCGCATCAGTCGCGTAACGTCTGCCAATTTGTTAGAACGACCGCTCTGGTTCAAGTTATCAAAATCATATTTCATAAAAGTCACTCCTCATGGTTCTTGCTTTCTTGGCCTGGTGAGGATATGACCCGCACCGGTGCCGGCGCTGTCGGCAACCCCAATCTTAGGTTATTCGCAGGCATTTCTAGTTTGCACATGTTATTTTGGCAGTAAGGTGCCTTTCTATTTCACTGGTGAGAAGTTACAACGCCCAATCAGCGTCTCAACCTCTTAACCGCCTGTACGTCATCAGTTAGCTATCCTCTATAGGTCATCAGCAAGCCCTATTGTAGTGCCTGCGCACTACAGCCGGCGCTATTGCCAGCCCCAATATTCAGGTATCCACAGACACGTCTAGTGTATACATGCTAATTTGCTAATAAACTGCCTTACTTCGATACTAGGAAGAAGGTCCTGTCCTCGTTCAGGATGTTGACCTCCTGTAGGTCACCAGCTAGCTATCTTCTTACGGTCCCCAGCAAGCGCTATTGTAGTGCCTGTGCACTACAACTTCCCCCCTTGCCGGACTGAACAGGCCTAACCACAACACATTATTTCTGCTTTTTCAGTCTCTGTGCTCTTCTGAAGCTGATACCGTGAGCGCATGCAGTGCGCAGCCCTACCTCCCACCCCTTCGCTCAAGGTTACCAGCCCTGCAGGCGGCGGAAGGTGACGGACCCAGGAGGAGCATTTTCGTTTCGAGCCTGAAGATGTCTTCGCTGTCGGCGGCGCCAAGCGCGAAGCAAAGCGGGGCAGCGTGTAAGGTGGTGAGCGGACTCCCATGTGGCTCCCGCGCCACTTGACGAGGTACTAGGCATCGTCTCGCGAGCCACTTTGGTCCATAATATAGTCTAACTCGTATTCCTCTGTTGGATTGCCACAGCATGGCACAGCCAGTGCTGCAATCCAAAAGAGGCGTCCACCAATGTCGTGAAATATTCCCTCCAACAGTTACTACTTCTTCTGAATAGTACTCATGGAGGTGAGAGCGCTAGGACGAAATATTCGGTAAAAGGCATGGCAAGACTTACGTGACATTAAGGTAGCTGCAACGCTCCAAGACCGAATTTGCGTCATTAGCTCGGATTTGCCGTTGCCAGGGAACGGCGCCCAACACCGCAGCTCACCAGCTTCATTGCAGCGCGATCAAGTCCGGATTTTTAGAGAGGCGGCGAGAAATCACTCTCGAAAGAAAATGTTTTATTTATTCCTCATTTGTTTGTTGAGACGCGCAAAAATTTCCAAGATAGGCGCCAGCTCCACCCAGCACACGGTTGCCGGCGTGGCTCCCAGGAGAGCCAGAATTTTAAAAACCGGGGTTGGCGAGCTCCTCCGAAACAACCGGAAGTTTCTTAATGTAGACTTTCTTCAAAACCAGAAGGGCTACCCACAGGGACAATGGTACGACGGGAGAGATCCGAGGGTGTGCTGGCAGGGTGCGACGTGAGTTGAACTCGCGCTCGCGGCGATGGCCTGGCAACGTTGCACTTTATGAATGTGCACTGCATTAGCTTTGAAGCAAGCTTTAAAGGTAAACGAAAGAAGACATGAAACTATCTTATCCAGGAGGACTTCATGGGAGTGTCGTCGCCGCAGCGTCAGCCGGTGCCGTTCTACGGTTCTGCCTCA